CCTCGAGATCATATTCGTCTTTGATTGTATCATGATAACGTTCGTGGGCGACGTAAAATTTATTCACAACATCATTAAATTCGTGTCTTTTGTTTCGGGCTTCGCTTACATCTTGTAAGTTCAATTTTAATTCAGTTAGCTCTTTAATCTTCTTAGTAATGTTGCCTTTTGCAGCAGATCTATTTCTTCGCAGTTATTCAGACCTTTCGACTGTTTGATCTAAAGTCACGTTTAGGCGTTCCGCTCGATCGCTTGTCTCGTCTGTAATTTCTTTGTCAAATTCCGCCATATCGAAGCTTCAAATTTTAAGCAGAAAACATCCTTGAAACATTGAGTAAAGTATAGTTGACTTTCGGTATATCGATGAGGATATCTTCGAACTTATGTAGGAACAAATCGTCTGCTTCTTGTTCTACAGCTTCTGCTTTTAGGTCAACTTCGAACTCGCACGGTAAAATCAATAATCATTTAATACGGTTCGACTAAACAAAACAAATACATACAAAACTAAGACACTACACTATGAACTAATCGCATAATATGAAATAAACTTACAGATATTCCCTCTGTTAGAGTAAAGTAAATTCTGTCAATAAGTTCAGACGAGAAACAGTCCGTTAGCGTTGACTTAGATATAGATTCTAAATAATTTCGCAGTCCAAACGAAGTTCAAATGTACTGAACGCATGACTACACGCGTTACATAATCACAATAAATTACCATATATACTAAATTAAAATACAATGAATCCGGAAGCAGGACTGAATCCTACATACAGTATGTCACTTTTTATACAGTATAAGCGAAGAAGCACTATGGTTGAAGACTAATTAGATTAAATGACTTGGCTTCAAGGTCATGATGCAAATTCACCAGGATATTATCCTAACATACCGTAGGAAACTTTATTAATAAATTTTCTGGAACATGCATGAGGTTAAAGTTAAATATATCGGCTTGCAAAAAGACCACTCTTGCCTCCAATAACTAACCTCACTCTTGTACACAACACTGACATGAGAAAAAACTTTCTGGGGCATGAGAAAAAACTTCCTTCATCATCAACCAAACTTAGCCTTTCAAGATCACCACCTTAATCCCTCCCCAAACATTCGGGCTTTGTAGACAAAAGCTGATGCCAAATATCGTTCTGATCTCATTGGCTTGAGACTGGTCCATTGCATCTTGAACCAGTTAAATTTTTCAACAGACCAGGGCTTGAAATAACAACTGTTTTTCCAATCAATAATCAGCAAGAAATTGCTTTTATAAAATAACATGTATATATCGCGTGTTCTGATTGGTCGAAACTTGTGTTTGGATCAGGCCATCCAAACACGGAAGACTATCGTGTTGTTGTTATTTTATAAAACAATTACTTTATGGTTTCCGTGTTTGGATGACCTGATCCAAACACTTGGGAATGTTGCTCGAGTTAAGAAAAGCGGGCAAAACCACTCGCCTTCGCTCGCTTTTCTTAACTCTCGCAACATTCTCGTGTGTTTGGATCAGGCCATCCAAACACGGAAACCATAAAGTAATTGTATAATGATCAGCGGAAAAGCAGGGTTTTCAACCTAAAAAAGCAGGGAAAGTCATGACTGCCGATCACCATGATCAATCACCATGATCGGGAATTTTGGGAATGTTATTTCAGGCCCTGACAGACAAACACGATGTTGATAGTATGTGTCTATATACAGTATGTAAGCATAGTGTAAGAATAGTAGAATACTGTGTTAAAAATTTTGCCAATTATTTCAGATAACTAGATAAGTAAAGTAATAGTCATTTGTAATGAATCGTTTGTATTTGAATCTACTGTGATTAAAATATGTTTAATTAAAATGCCAGGTAAAATAAACTTGTTTTCAATAAAAGTTGGCTTCCAATGAAGCTGCAGCTTTGAGGCACCATTTCACTTGTGATGTTATACATTTTCATAGTGGACAGTATATAACAAGATGATGAATTTAATTAGATTAGACATAGGTTAGTAATAGGGGGAAGGGGCTAAAGGAAAAACTGGGCAATTTCACATATTGTCACCCATTTTTAACCAAGCTCCTTTTGCTATGGTGAAAGGTGTGAGGTGGGTTTATGGCACCTTAAAACCAGATTGCTCATTTTAGGTGGTTTTCATTGTCACCCATTTCTAAGTTCTAACCAAACTCCTTTTGCTTTTGCAAAAGGTGTGAAGGCAAGCAATCTAGTTTTAAGGTGCCAGAAACATGTGCTTGTGTTCAGCTTTTTCAAGGAGCTATCCTTGTTGGATCATGGTTTACTATTTTTGGTAAATGTGTTTCCTAGGCATGCTGATGAACCAAGGTATACATTGTAGGGCAAAACAGTCTATATATTACTTTATCGTATATATGCTGAACATTGGCAGGTACGAAAACTATGTCATTTGCGCATTTGTAGTTTGATAAAATAAAATATCTATACTCCCACGAAAATTGGACTATCATTGTGACATCGAATGACGTCATGGCAAATGACGTCATCACGTTTTGCGTCATCGAGACGTCATAGATTTTTGACTAACGTGCGAAAAATTCTAGATCTGCCCCTGGATGAAACTACGTGAAAAATATAAGGAGAATTTCAACGTTTTGAGCGAAGGCTCAATAATTGATTCATTGCGTAGAATTCGTGGTCATATCAGGGAATGTTACCAGTATAACAGAAAAGCGTTTAGAAGTATTATAAAAACTACCATCTGAGAATTAAATTGTATCTGAATGAATTAAAAACGTGGAATTGACCTCATTGGTTATTAAAGAGGGATTAGATTCTGTAAACAAGCTTTCGTTCATGATAGGGATGAAACTACGTGAAAAATATAAGGAAAATTTCGACGTTTCGAGCGAAGGCGCTACGTCGGGAGTTTGGCTAGTAACTCCAGACCAAGGACCTTCGCTGGAAACGTCGAAATTCTCCTTATATTTTTCAGGTAGTTGCATCCCTACCAACGAAAGCTTGTTCATATTATTGCCACTACCTACACTGACACAGACACTTCAAGATTAGATTCTGTGGTTTTCTGATGGATGTGAATGAGTAGATGAGTTATGAATGTTCTGAGTATATGTATCCTCATCTCAACATTCATATCCACTCGTTCACATCCATCAGAAGAAGATAGTTTTTTTAATAGTTTTCGCGCGCGAAATTTAAAAGTTTAAAACGCTTTTTGAGTTCATGGGCGAGAATATTGTTGTGTGTTTTATTAATGATCCAAATATCAGAAAATTTGCTCAATTTTAAGTCCTTCAAATAGCTGCTGAAACTTTCAATTTTTGGGACCAATGCCTTTCACGCATGCTTAATTCGTGCATTTACCTAATTGGCATTTTGTGATTGTAAAAACATTATGGACCATTAATAAAACACATAACAAATTTTTCGACCATGAACTCAAAATGCGTTTCAACCTTTTAAATTTTGCGCGCAAGCTATTTTTAATGCTGCTAAAAAAGACCCCCGCCCCTGCTCTGGAAAATTTATCTTTACGAAATTGCTTTGTTTATTCTACATTATAAGTACCCAAACAATCTATATTTATCAAAAATTTCATGACACGAACAGATTTATGAAATTGAGAGGCGTTTCAAGATTGTCTACTTTTTTCTGATACACCCTGTAGATAGAAAGATAGATGGTTTATTTCATAAAAACTTTGCAGCCAATAGGCTGAATTACGCTTATATTTACACGTTAAGAAAATATTAAAATACTATACACTAACTGTCTCTAAAAGGAAGAATATTAATCTAAGAATATTAATCTTAGAAAATTAAAATACTATACACTAAATGTCTCTAAAACGAAGAATATTAATCTAAGAATATTAATCTAAGAATATTAAAATACCATACAGCAACTATCTCTAAAAGGAAGAATATTAATCTAAGACCATTAAAATACTATACAATAACTGTCTCTAAAACGAAGAATATTAATCTAAGATTATTAATTTAAGAATATTAAAATACTATACACAGTTTCTAAAAGGATCTAAGAATATTAAAATACCATATACTAACTCTCTCTAAAAGGATCTAAGAATATTGACAATTAGTGGTAGTAGTTAATTAATTTTATAATTAGGTGCAATTGCTGTTAATTATATAGAAGTCATAAAGTTATTTTAGGCAAAACTAAATGATTTTTGCAAATTAAATGGATTAATACCATTAGCAAAAGGAATAGATCACACATAAAAAAATTACAAAATTAACTTACTAAAATACCAATTAATATCCTAAATTACCATGTATTTATCTGTCTGTACAAACACATGAGCTTTTATTTGGCCGTTATATTTGCAATAGCCAAAATGTTATTAAATTTGTACACTTAATATTTATAGAAATATGATTTCCATTCAGTAGTGTTATTAAGATCAGTGTGGTTGGTTCAATTTAATACCGCATCCATGACAAACAGACAACTTCTCCCATTTTTCAATCTCGTCAACAACATCAACCCTTTGCATGGTATCTTCAAGAATCTTCTTAAGAGCCCCCACATTATTTTCTTTTTTTCTTGATCCCCACTTGTCGAGTACTTCTTGGGCAGTCCCCACTCCTCCCTGTCTTTCATATTTCGTTTCAATATATGCAGCCGTTGTTTGGTCAAAGCCACCTAAAGCGCTCATAAGTGGTTCCTTGCTACGTTTAGCTACGTCGAGCAGTCTGCGAATTTCGTGAATACTACTATTTTCGATTTTACCAATGGGCCATTTGTCCCGGTCACTTGAAAGCGGTGTTTCGTCTTTTGAAGCACAAGAACTACACATAGGGCTTTCTTTCGATGACTTCTTGCTTTCCTGTGTTGGTTTTTGTGAATCAATGGTGTCTATAATAAAAGACAAGATAGAATTATCTTCAGAAATGTTTTTATTTCAAAAGGTTGGTAAACCAGGTAACATTGTTTCCAAGCCATGTTTCCCGAAGGTGAGCGAACCATGAAACATTGTTCTTAGCCATGTTTCCCGAAGGTGAGCAAACCATGAAACATTGTTTCTTAGCCATGTTTCCCGAAGCTGAGCAAACCATGAAACATTGTTTCTTAGCCATGTTTCCCGAAGGTGAGCAAACCATGAAACATTGTTTCTTAGCCATGTTTCTCGAAGGTGGGCAAACCAGAAAACATTGTTTCTTAGCCATGTTTCCTGAAGGTGAACAAACCAGGAAGCATTGTTTCCTAGCCATGTTTCTCGAAGGTGAACAAACCAGGAAGCATTGTTTCTTAGCCATGTTTCCCGAAGCTGAGCAAACCAGGAACTGACAATGTCTCCTATATGCAGCTTTCTTCTCGAAAGTGAACAAACAAGAAACAATTGTTTCCGCTAAAAAATCACATGGAGAAACAAAATATGCTTCTGAATTTATTGGGAAATACGTTTGCTTCGTGAGAACTGTTTCCAAAGCTGGACAAACAGTGAAACATTCAAGAAAACTTCAAGATTTTCAAACGTTTCCTAATTTGCCTATATAGGCTATTGCCTCTTAATAAACACTATACCTATATGATGGGACGTGTAGTTGACCAACTATTGCAAGAGCCGGAATAACCAGAGGCGAAACAAATGACAACTTAACTTTGTTAAGGCCTGACTCCACGACGGCGAAATTCCTCGCGAGAAATTGTGTCTGCGAAATACGGATGGTTGCACATGAGAGATTCTTATTGAATTTTCCCACTTTTTCCGCTTTCGCAGTGACTAGAACTGACTTCTACTCACTGGTGAAGCGAAATTTTTTCTCACGAAGCCTAATTTATCTTTACTGCGCATGCACCTAATTCATTTCGCCAAAGAAAGCGCCCGTGGAATCAGGCGTTAAGAGCCACGACAAACCATAGCACACATGTCATAAGTGTGTCAGGCGTAGAAAAACTACATTCTAGGATTACCTGCAACTGGCTCTCGCTCGTTTAACGAAGCGTTCCAGATTAAATTTTATATTAAATTAAAGCTCACAAAATGCAAAACAACATACCTACATTATACATTTCGGAAATTCATTGTTGTATAGTAAAAAGATTAAATTTTCAAATATTTTTGTCATTTTATACAAAATATATGAAAATTTTTAAAAATTTAAAAATAACCGTGTACGCGCAACGCGAATTGATTCCCATACGGGTTTCCATTCAGTAATTTATCAGTTTACTATTCAATGAAGTACTGTATTTTGTATTATGTGAAGGTACGACAATAAAGGAATACCGAATGATTTTCCGTGCAGGATTGCGTGATCCATGCACGAGGGATGTCGCGAGACTTTCGGAAAGTCATAAGCGTGTCGTATCTTCATATGTGATAGAGATGTCCCTTGATTTACATAAACTTTAACTTTGATTTTCTCGACTTACACAACGTAGTTTTTAAAAATTACTTCGCCAATGAACTTACTACATCGATCTTTTTGAAGCAATTTAAAACATTCGCAGTGCATGTTTTATCAGACCTAAAGATACTCGGCTTCGTCTCGTATCTTTATATCTGATAATACACTGCTGCTCGTGTTTTAAATAGTACTTAAAAAATACATTTCTACAAAAAATACATGTCAACTAAACATTTCAAAACTGGCAAAGTAAAAACGTCTTTAGCATTAGCCACTTACCAGTATTGAGCCAAATTTTTACATTCTTTATGTCAAACACCTTGGACGAGCGTTTGTCCGACCGACAAACTGCAGGGGATTTATCGTTGTAGAATCTTTGAAGGTCACTAAGCTTCCAGAAGTGGCGGTGCCCACAACGGTCTGAATGACACTGGATCTCATGATGACGAGGACATTTCCTTTCTTCTTTACCAAAACAGCAGCTACACTCCACTTCGAGGTTATAGCTGGTCATGCTGAATAATAGTTGGTCTGGAGATTTAAGGTCGTCCAAGCACTTTTTCAGAGTGGCTAAGAGATGACTGGCAAACTTGAAATGGTTGCCATCCTGTTTTGGAAAAACGGCAACCTTAATGACCTCGTGCAGGTCGATTAAACAAACATCATACACGTCGCCGTCTATAATAAGCGGAAGCAAGGAGTAGTTGCAGTAGAAAGAAGGCGTGGCTTGTTGATTGGGGAAGCGCTTTTCCCAATCAGAAATTAACCTCACTTGAAGCTTCGTAAACAGGCCCATCGGTACAAGTTGGCGAGGAAATGTTACAAACAGCGATGGAACATTGTTAGCTTCCAACTCTTCTCCTGCTATCATAGTTGGAGCAACTGAAGGGACATAAAAAGCTGCCTTTCCATCGTGCTGGCAAAGACAAATCAAATTAAACATTTGCATAAGCTCTTCTAAAAGTTCTGCGTCTTCCAGCTTGTGAAGATATTCTCGAAACAAAATGCCGTTCTGCCTGAACACATCAAGAGCGTGCCTCGACAATGCATCCAATTTGCCAGGCATGGAGATCACTTTCGTAAAGCGATTCATTAGCCAGTGAGGATCCAAAACAACCTTGCTTGATCCACTGTGGTGTACGACCACACCTTGGCGGTGTAGAAATTTGATAGCTTGATCAAACTCCCCAACGCCACAGGCCTTCGCTTTCCGCTTAGCTTCGTCAACTGGGATATACTTGCAATCTAGTGATAGCTTCTGGCTTAGAGCAGCTTCAAAATCTAGCCACTTCACAGGCATTAAAATCTCCTGGTCAAGGACTGCATTCGAGAGGTCAAAAAGCTTTCTACGAAGCTTTCGCACGTCGTCTCCATCGTCGCCTTCCAATGTATTGTCGATCAGGAAAAACTCTGGGACGACAATCTCATATTTTCCTTCAGACAAGACCTTGTTGATTCTCTTTTGTACGCAATCTAATTTGCTGTCGTTGCCTTTCACCTTATCATTGTGAGTAAAGGCTATTAAAATTGGTGGCAGTTTAAAGTTCTCACCTTTTGCAGTGGTACAGTGACCAGATTTATTGGGAAACTGTTGATCTTGGCATCTTCCCAAACCTTGCAGAAACTTCAGCCACGATGTAAAATGATCTAAATTGGTATTAAGATGAGGATTCTTCATTTCTATCTCTTCCTCTTCCTCACTTGCTTTAAACCTGGGAACGGCGGGTTTATCAAACTCCAGAGAAAGGTCGTGAACTAAAACATAAGGGCAATGCGGTTTCACAAAGCAGCCATGGGTATCGTAATAGATTGACTGTCCAGCAAAGTCACTTACAAATACCCGAAGAACTTCTTTCTGGTCGTGTTCAGTGGTCAAAATATTAGCCTGCGATTTGATTTCTGAGATTTCTTCACTTAATAATTTTCTTCTCTTGACTGGCTTCACTGGTTCTGGCGCATCCCCTTCAAAATACTCCTGAACTCCACTATCAATGTCAAGGTCACTATCATTGTCTTCTAAATTCCTCTGAATTCCTCTATCAAGGTACTCGGCAGTTTTTTTGTATAACACAGTCCTGGCCTCACTTTCACTGGTCATAAACTTCTTCACTTCTCTTTTTTTCCAGGGATCTTCCGCGTTTTGTTCTGATAGCTCGATAACATTAACGTCAATACCAGTGGTACTGGGTTGATATTTGTTGAATGGTAATCCCAAAAGACGTCTCATCAGCGACGTCTTTCCGCCTCGGTCTTGCCCGACCAGCATAATCGGAATTCGATTATTTTTTGCTTTACCTTCTTGGAGAGCTTGCGAATATGCACGCCTATACTCTTTCTCTTCTAGACAAAATAAAGTTAAAA